CCTACTACCATACGGTTTTCACCTCTGAGGAGCGCACCTATATCAGGGTGATATCCTGCCGGGCAGCAGGTGACAGGTATATATTAAATATTTCGAGCTCGACATCGCCTGACCGGATAGCTATGCCCTGACATTCTAGGGTGGTATCCCTGCGGTCGATGTCTGCTTCGATAAGACGATACTGCACGGTGTGGTGCGTGATGAACGCTAAGCCACCACCATTATCTCGCTCGCGATCTCGACGGTGCACGTTGTACCCGGCACAATTCAACAAAGTTGAATTGCTGTGCAACTTCGTCTCTTGGACCGCAGCTATTAATATACCATGCCGACCCATAAAGGCGGTTATCTCCTCAATCTTGCTCTGTAGCCCGTTACAGTTGAATTGGAGGAGCTTCATGTGGTTCGGGAGACGTGTTGTGATGTGGGGTGTAAGTGAGGTGTATGTTCTTGCCGCCGTTGGCTGTGTGTGCTGCTGAGGTGATTGCCTCCCTGTGGTGGTAGTGGGGGGCGTCGCAATTGATGTCAGCGACCGAGCAGTGCAACACGGGCCCTCGAAGTTCCCCATCCAATCTCGCGTGGTGCGCAGACCTGAACATGCCCTAAAGTGGCACCAGCCAAGGCAGGTGTTGCACTTGACTGATGTCACATTACGGAATATTCTGGTCTGACATACCGTGCAGATTGTAGGGGGAACCAGGAGTTGTTGGCGGCGGCGTGTGGGTGGTGGTGCGGTTGTGTGTGTTATATGGTCTGTGGTGGCTGTGGTATGTTGTTGTGTTGTGGCGACTGTGTGTGGTTGCTGTGTGAGTGTGTGGGGCTGCACGGGCGGACTATGGGTTGCCGTGGAGGCTGCTCTATTTGAGCAACAGGGGGCCACGTACGACGTGGTCCACTTCCACTGTCTGTGTGTCCGTAGTCCCGAGCAGGCCCTGAGGTGACTCCACCCCTCGCAGGCATTACACTTGACTGAGGTGGAGTTGTGGTGTAAACGTCTTTCGTTTGAAAACAAATGTAAAAAAATATTCCGAAATACACGGAAAAAGTGAAGTTACAGTCGGACATAACCTAACAAAAGTTGAGACTCCCATGAACGTGTGCATGTGAGACTCCTGTGGACATACGTTTTGCCATTGAAGTTTTGTAGTTTTGTCGCCGTTGAAACTTTCCGTTGAGTTTTGAATTTGTAGCTAGCTAACGAAATAGCAACGAATAAGCTACGAAGTTCTACGAACGTTTGTATTCTTGATGTAATCGCGAATATATACATTTCGGTTACACTTGTTTGTGTTAATTCAATGTGCAAAGAAGAATTCTGATACTCTGTATATTTCGGTTGCACTTGTTTGTGTTAATTCAATGTGCAAAGAAGAATTCTGATACTCTGTATATTTCGGTTGCACTTGTTTGTGTCATTTTTGTGTGCAAAGGAAAGTCTGTTACGAAATAACGATATCTATCTCTGTTTTGCATCTATGAATATATGTTTGAAACAAAATTTTGAAATAAAGAAGAGTACGACTTGGAGTGTTTGTTTCAAATAACTATGGCTATATCTGTCGCGTAATAACTGAGAGGACGGTTGAATCTAATTAGAATCCTCAAAAGAAGACAATAATCAAAACAAAAAACGTGAAAATGTCTTTACGAAATAAAAACGTTCAAGAGTTGAGAAATAAGTGCAAAGCGTTTGGTTTGCCAACATCGGGTCGTAAAAATCAATTGATTGATCGCTTAGAGGAGCATATGAATGCTGACGGGAGTGATTGTGACAAAGAATCGACAATAGTGCAAAATAATTTGTCAGTAGTACAACGAGTTGCAAGTTTAGAAAAAACAATCGCTGAAATACATAAGCAAATATGTACGCCTCGTCAGGCGGTTGTTACGTCCTCTAATTTCGAGCCGATATTATCATCGTCACCAGTCATGTACACGACTGCATCAAATTATTTGCCACAAACGCAGCGTGCCATTCCTTCGCAGTGGGAATCGGCGAACCGTCGATTTTATGTACCGAATGTAGCATCAAATCAAAATGTGCACCAACGTTATGCATTACATTCGAATATGCAAATGCCTTGTAGTAGTGCACCAAATGGTGTCCCACAACCTTGTGCACCACATGTGTCTAATTTTCAAAATGTGTTACAGTCTAACAATTCGTCTTATTTTAATAATATTCGCGACATAATCGAGCTTTTGCCAGATTTTGATCCAAATTCGGATAAATCGTTAAACTCTCAGCAATTTATTAAACGTGTAGAGCTACTCAAAAATACACATCAGTGGAGTGAAAGTGTATTGCTTTTTGCATTGCAACAGAAAATGCGTGGCTCAGCGAAGCTGTGGATTGACTCTCAGCAATGTGTCTTCGTCTCGGGGCCACAGTTCATAAATAGTTTTTTAATAGATTTCCCTTGCATAGAAAACGAGGCCGATATACATTTGAAAATGGCGCAATGTAAACGCCTTAACGCGGAAATGCCGGTTGAGTACTATTACCGAATGTTAGCATTAGGTACGAAGGGTGGACTTCCGGAGCCCAGTATTGTGCGCCATATCGTTAATGGCATAAACGACATAGATTTAAAGAGGAAAATTTCTAACGAATACGTGCGATGTCAAGACTTACTGCGAGATATAGTAAGCTACCATGAACCAAAGCCCATACTACAAAAACCTAAATATGCTGTGCAACCGTCGCAGAATGTGAGAGCGAATAATGCGTCACAAGCAAACGAGAAACAAACGTCGCGTAATAAGATACCCATAGAGAACGTAAAGTGCTTTAACTGCTCCAAATTAGGGCATTATTCCGTAAATTGCCCTGACCGCAAAAAAAATACGGTGTGCTAACTGCAAACGTACGTCACATACAACCGAACAGTGTGTTGTGAAAGCAAAAAACGTAAACAAAATATTAGATAGTCCTGATGAGCGTAAAAACACGGACAATCTAGAAAAGGATATTTTCGTGAACGGGCGTAATACTAAAGCAATCGTTGATCCGGGTAGTTCTTGCACTCTCGTAAAAAAATCATTCGCAGATATGGTCGGATAACGTCAAGAGCATAATTCGGCTTTACACGGATTTGCGGGTGGTGAGTACATATGCACGAGCAAAATAAACGTTCCAATTTCAATTGATGATAATAAATTCAATGCTGACTTGTTAATAATAAACGATAATTTGATTGATGAGAATGTGTTGTTAGGAAAAGACGTGTTGTGTCGTGATGATAAAAGATTAGTCATTGAAGGCGACAAGTGTAAGATTGAACGGGTCCAATCTATAAATATAACTGCCAACTTAAACGAAGTTGAACATAATCTACTCGTAAATCTTGTGTCGAAATATAAAGAGGTGTTCGCAAATAACGTCGCAGAAATCGGAAAATGCTCGATTGCTAAAATGCATATTAAACTCAACACTGACGTGCCGATTTCTCTTAAACCTTACCGTGTGCGTTTCGCAAAAAGACCGATAATTTCGAATATAATATCCGAACTACTCACTAATGATATTATTCGACTAAGTGAATCGCCATATTCTTCGCCAGTTGTGCTAGTAAACAAAAGTAATGGTGAACATCGACTTTGTGTCGATTACCGTTGTCTGAATAAAGTTACCAAAAAACAGCCGTACCCCATGCCGAGCATGGAGGAGCAGTTTGCTCAGCTCGCGGGTAATACATATTTTACTACACTCGATCTGCGGATGGGATACCATCAGATCGAAATCGAAGAGACTTCAAAAAAATGTACCGCGTTCGTCACTACCGACGGACATTTCGAGTTTAACAGAATGCCTTTCGGTCTCGTGAATGCGCCGGCAGTTTTTCAGTGTGTGATGAACAAGGTTGTGTCGAAAATGTCAGCCAACGAAGTGCTGGTGTACTTGGACGATATAATCATACCAAGCAAAACAATTGAAAAAGGACTATATCGGTTGAAAAATGCATGTCATTATTGAAAGATGCAAACCTAACGCTACGTTTCGACAAGTGCAAGTTTCTTGAAAAACAAATCGAACATTTAGGCCACATTATTAATCAAAACGGAATTACTCCCGGAAAGAAAAAAATAAGCGCGATAATGAATTTCCCAGTACCCAACGATGTCACTGAGGTAAGGCGATTCCTAGGTCTGACAGGGTTTTTTCGTAAATTTGTCGAAAATTACTCCCTTATTGCAAAACCGTTAACGAAGCTTCTTCATAAAAGGGAAGCTAATAATTTTGTTTGGGGAAGCGAGCAACAAACCGCTTTTTCTAAGCTCATCACCGCATTATCAGATGAGCCCGTACTAGCACTATATGACTCAAATGCTCAACACGAAGTTCATACCGATGCTAGCAGCGTTGGTCTTGCTGGCGTTTTACTACAGTCGGCTGATGGGAAATCTTGGAGTCCTGTCTTTTACTATAGTCGTCATTGTTCTAGTTCCGAAAGCAAATACCATAGCTATGAACTAGAAGTATTAGCAGTTGTTGAAACATTAGAGCGCTTTAGAATTTACTTGCTCGGAAAACACTTTCGCGTAATAACAGACTGTTCCGCCGTGGCACACGTCAAGGAGAATAAAGAGCTTAAGCCAAAAATTGCCCGTTGTTGGCTTAAGCTACTCGAGTATAATTTCGAATGCATCCACCGTCAGGGAACACGCCTGCAGCACGTTGGCGCACTTAGCCGTATGCCAGATGAACCCAGTAGGGAGGTCGAACCCAGCAGGGTTTGTTTTGAAAGTAACCGCTGACGTAGATGACTGGTTACTAACAATGCAGTTGCAGGACGAGAAGCTTCGAGAAATTATCGCAGTTTTAAACGGTTCTTGTAAGTCTCCACACGAAGAAAGCTTAAAGAATGACTACGTACTTCAAAACCATCGGTTATACAGAAAACAGAAAGAAGGTCCTCGATTTGTTGTCCCAAAGTCTGTGCGTTGGCGCGTAATGCACTACAGCCATGATAAATCATGGCATCAAGCCGTCGAAAAGACCTTACAACGTTTACTGCAGTCGTATTGGTTTCCGCAAATGCGGAAATATGTTAAGCAATATATAGCAGCATGTATACATAGAGTGCTGCTACAAGAAGAACCGTTCAGGAAAAATCGAGGGCCATCTTCATTACAGTCCAATTAAACCAATCCCGTTTCATCTGATCCATATCGATCATATGGGCCCCTTTGTGCGCAGCAAACGGGGCAATTGCTATGTACTCGCAATTTCCGATGCATTTAGCAAATTTTTGATCGTCAAAGCTGTACGAGACACCAAAACAGTTCATGTATTGAAAACACTCAATGAAATGTCCAGCTACTTTGGACTTCCGTCACAAATCGTTTCCGACAGGGGTACATCATTCACATCCAAAGCATTTGGATCGTATTGTGAACAGAACAACATTCAACATATCAAAACCGCCGTACGCACCCCCAGAGCCAATGGCCAAGTAGAGCGCGCTAACCAGACCATACTCACATTTATCCGAACAACGACCGAAGATCCTAAAGACTGGGATCTAACGCTTAGAGATCTCCAGTGGACTATAAATTCCCAGAAAAACTCTACGACTAGCTTCAGCCCAAACGAGTTAGTATTCGACTTTAACCTTCGAGATGTGATCAACTCATCGCTGCAATACACGATGACATATCAGATGACCAAACTACGACTTTAACCGCAGCTAAAAAACGAGAACAAGCAACAATCAATATAAACAACGTACGTGAGAAGTGGAAGCTACGTTTTGATAAGAAATACACGAAGTAGAAAGTATACGCCGAAAACGACATAGTAGTCATCGAAAATGAACCAGCATCAGTAGGTGACTCTCGAAAATTAGAGCCTAAATACCGTGGGCCCTATATTATTCGAAAAGTATTAAGCAATGATCGTTATCTCGTCGAAGATATCCCCGGTTATCAGGTTACGGCAAAGACATTCTGTTCCGTGTATGCCGCCGAAAAAATAAAGCCGTGGTGCAGCGCTAACCCTGAGCTAGATATCGACGATTCAAACTTTGATGAAATCGAGGACGATAATACCTAACAAAATGCAACTCTAATATGACGAACGACACGTAGTATATAGCGTAATGGAGTCAGGGGAGTAGGGACATGATATCGAACAGAAAGTATCGATATGGTACTCATTTAAAGTATCGCTTTTAAAATATCGGGTACCCATTAATATCGGAATAAAAAGACTCGATATATATATATAGGTCTCGTATATAGGCCGCTGTGGTGTAATGATTAGAAGTGCTCAAAACTTGAAAATGAAAAACAGCTTCCCATTAAAACAAAATCGCTCTTCAAAGTCGACATAAAACTGTAGGGACCCTTTTTTTGCCACAACATTAATAGCCCGAACACAATGAAAACGACGAGCTATGGACCATAGCTGTCAAATTATTATAACACATACTCTTATGTAGATCATTATTTTGGCGCCGACCGGGCTACGCGACGACTGTGGTTGTGGCCAGATTAGTTGCGAGGGGTGGAGTCACCTCAGAGTCTGCTCGGGACTACGGACACATAGACAGTGGACCACGTCGTACGTGGCCCCCTGTTGCTCAAACAGAGCAGCTTCCACGGCTAACCACGGTCCGCCCGAGCAGCCCCACACACTGACACAGCAGCCACACACAGTCACCACAACACAACAACATAATAACACCACAGACCGTACCACAGCCACTACAAACCACACAACACACACAACCGCACCACCACCCACACGCCGCCGCCAACAACTCCTGGTTCCCGCTACAATCTGCACGGTATGTCAGACCAGGATATTCCGTAATGTGACATCAGTCAAGTGCAACACCTGCCTTGGCTGGTGCCACTTTAGGGCATGCTCAGGTCTGCGTACTACGCGAGATTGGACTGGGAACTTCGAGGGCCCGTGTTGCGCTGCTCGGTCGCAGACCCCAATTGCGACGCCCCCCACCACCACCACAGGGAGGCAATCACCTCAGCAGCACACACAGCCAACGGCGGCAAGAACATACACCTCACTTACACCCCACATCACAACACGTCTCCCGAACCACATGAAGCTCCTCCAATTCAACTGTAACGGGCTACAGACAAGATTGAGGAGATAACCGTCTTCATGTGTCGGCATGGTATATTGATAGCTGCGGTCCAAGAGACGAAGTTGCACAGCAATTCAACAACGCGGCGCTCGCAGCGGGAAGGCGAAAGCCTCCAAAGCCATGGGTCCCGACGGAATATGCATGCTGATGCTGAAAAATTTGGGTCCTGCGGGGGTAGCGTACCTAACGGAGGTCCTCAACTTGTCAATGGCCACTCTCATCATCCCAGACATCTGGAAGGTGGGGAGAGTGGTCCCACTGCTCAAACCGGTGAAACCTGCCAACAAAGGAGATTCGTATCGTCCGATTACACTCCTTTCCCCGGTAGCGAAGACACTCGAGGCCTTGCTACTCCCGTACTTCACAAACCACCTGACCCCAGCGAAGCATCAGCATGGTTTCCGTTAAGTGCACAGTACAACAACAGCACCTAACGCCATAAACACTCAGATAACTCGTGGCCTTAACCGTAACCGTCCCTGTGAGAGAACGATTCTAGTAGCGTTGGACTTGTCAAAGGCGTTTGACACCGTCTGCCATTCCACGCTACTAGAAGATATAGAGGCCTCCTCTCTCCCAATGTTTAGAGACAAAACGAGTAAGCAGCGAAAAATAAAACAGGGGGTTCCTCAGGGTGGTGTCCTTTCCCCGCTACTGTTTAACTTTTACATTTCAAAGCTCCCTCAACCACCAGAGGGAGTCTCGATTGTCTCTTATACCGACGATTGCTCGAT